AAAAGAATGGTAGGACTTCATGCTGCTGAATGATTCCTATTTTTGTAAAAATGGAATGCTGAAATAAGTCACAAAGATCAAAAGACTTTTTAACAAAATGGAGTAACATCTGAATAATTTGAATTTGACACAGAGAAAGCATTTCAATGTTATTTAAAATAGACATCTACCTGCTTAAACTGTGTTTAAAATGCAATCTAATTGTGGGAAAAAAGGGGGACAAAAGTCTTATACACATATCTCAGAGTCAAAAAACGCATTAAAACTATCACAACAAAATAAATGAATTGCCATTTATCATTACTAAAAATCAACTGTCAGTCACTCAGACAACTACTGTTGAAGTTGTCAAAACAATTCTTTGTATACCTTAACTGGGAATTTTTATCATTGATTTCAAAAAAAGGAGAATTAACGACAAACCCTAATTACTGTATAAAAGATCCCATCACCTTCATAAATGAGTCCGTGGGAGGCTTTATGCAGACTCCGCACGAACTTACAGATTTGCAAAGTGGAAGAGATGGCCAAGATGCATGTTTTTGACTAAAGATGTTGTTCTTATAAAAATGGCAAAAGCATAACAATGTGAGCTCATTTGGGAAGAATAAACTGCAGGTAAGAAAGCATGAAAAACACACGCAAGGAACCTAAATTTTCCAAATGTGCCACATATTTCATTAGATGCCATGTCTGACTGTGGCATTAAATTAGGACTAGGCCTCCAACTTTTCTTTAAATGATAAAATCTTTAGTTACTTGATTTATGAGGTTTTTCACTCACTTGAACCATCTGCAAAACTGTTACAAAGCTGAACTTGAGTTCAATGTGTCAAAACAACAATACAGTTCCTATTTTATAAGCAAGTTCTTTACAAGATAAATTCTCTCAAATAATAGCTAAGATAGATCTTATCCATGTTGAATTTCTTTGTATTTTAAACCTATTACAAAGAAAAATGGCAGAAAAGGTCAACTTGGCTGTTGCCAAACATGAACAAAAGGAAGACAGAGCCGCAGGAGGGGCTACGACTCCAGGAAGACGGAGCTTTCTCAGGTCTGTGACACAGTTCTATCAAGAATAAGATACCCTGAGAAGTCACTGCTTGTTTCATACACAAGTTTAGATATTCCAAGATTACATTTTCCCCTACAATTACCTGTGGGGTTTATTTTTGCCAACCTGAAACTAGAAAACTCCTAGGTTCATTCTATGAGAATGTGGTTATAGAAAATGAATCTTGCCCAAAATATATTATGGAAATAAATAATACACAGATATCTTCCCTACTGAATACTGACAGCAGTTCAACTTTAAAAGAACACCAAGTATAAAATTGGTCATGAGGCCATGAATTTTATTTTTAAATATAATCAGGTGGAACTAAAGTTAAGCAAACACCTCTGACCAAAAATAGGGCCAGGTTTTGACAACAGATACATAACTGCTCAGACCTGTGGGAACCTTCATACACCACTGGTAAGAATACAAAATGCCACAGTTATTTTGAGAAACAGTCTAAAAACTCTTCCACAGATAAGAAAAAGAGTGACCATGTGACAGAGCAAGCCCATCCCGAGTATATACCCAAGAGAAGCGGAAACTCATGTCCACACCAAAGCTTGAACACCACCGCCCACAGGCTCAGGATTCACAACAGCCAAGCTTAAAGACAACCAGAAAGGCCATCCTTGATGACTGGATAAATAGCATGCTGCAGCCATAAAATGGAATATTATTCAGCAATCGAAGGAAATGGAGAACTGATTCATGCAAGCAACAAAAAAAACCCTCAAAACCATGATACTAAGTAAAAGAACCCAAACACAGAAGACCAGACATCCTACGATTCTGTGTTTATAAAGTGTCAGAAGTCATAAATCTAGAGCAAAAAAGCAGGTCCCTGGTTGCCAGGAGCTGGGACAAGGAGAGTGTGAAATGCCTGTAAATGGCTCCTTTCTGGGGTGATAAAAATGGTTTAAAACATATTGTGATAAAAGGTGTACAACTCTGTGAATATATTAAAAAACACTGAATTGTACCCTTAAAATCCATGTATGGCTCAGAACTGTGGGCCAGGGCTACAGCAGCATAGCCTGGGGAAGTGGGCTCCTCCATCAGGAGGACAGGCAGGGAGGCATTGGGCAAGGAGTAGCCACGGGTATTAATCCCCACTGCCTTGGTGCCCCAAAGGATCCAGACATGGTCCAGCTGGCTCTGTTAGGTTTTGACCTGTTGTGGGTTCCACACCACAGAGAGAACCAGAATGCAGATGGAGAGCCCTGGGTGCTGGTAGAACATTTCCACCTATTTGACCCAGCAATCCCATTACTGGGTATATACCCAAAGGATTATAAACCATTCTATTGTAAAGGCACATACACCCTACGTTTATCGCAGCACTATTCACAATAGCAAATACTTGGAACCAACGCAAATGCCCATGAATGATAGACTGGATAAAGAAAATGTGGCACATATACACCATGGAATACTATGCAGCCATAAAAACAATGAGTTCATGTCCTTTGCAGGGACATGGATGAAGCCGGAAACCATCATTCTCAGCAAACTAACACAGGAACAGAAAACCAAACACTGCATGTTCTCACTCATAAGTGGGAGTTGAACAGTGAGAATACATGGACACAGGGAGGGGAACATCACATACCAGGGCCGGTGGGAGGCTGGGTGGCAAGGGGAGGGATAGCAGGGGGTGAGAGCTAGGGGAGGGATAGCATTAGGAGAAACACCCAATGTAGATGACAAGGGATGGGTGCAGCAAACCATCATGGCACCTGCATACCTATATAACAACCCTGCACATGTACCCCAGAATCTAAAGTATAATTAAAAGGTAGATAAATAAGAGGTGGGTTTCTACTCTGCTTGTGCTCCATGAACCAGTGAACTTCAGGTAGGCACCTGCAAGGTACGGGTGCTCCCAGGTGCTGAATCCACCCATTCTGTCCTCACCTCCGGGTCTGGCAGCACATCAATGTGGGTACAACTCAGGCTGCTGAGTCTCTCACGTGCTGACAGACAATTTAGGATGGACACCCTGTTCTCATCAGGCTAATAAAATGCAGAGAGAGAAACATGGTATCTCTGAAAGAACTAAGCTCACGCCAAACACAAGACAAGGTCTTGTTTACCTTTAATGAGTGGAATATCACAGACAGTGAGATTTAAATCAGTGCATATTTTAAAAAGATAATTAGCACAATTTGGGAATCAGCTGGAAAAATCAGAACAGTTATACCTAATGAAACCATTATTAAAAATACTTTATTATATTTCTAATTTAACGTTGTAACACCACTTAAGAAAATGTCACTTCAAAAAACCCAGGTAGAAAGGAATATGGGTAAAATAACCTGATATAGAAGCACAGAGTCAAATTAAAAACCACAGTGGGGTGTGTGACTAGCTATGTACAATTTTAATTAAAGCCTCAATTTTCTTCGAAAAATTAAATCATTCAAATTTAACTAGGTTTTGAAACAATATGAGATCTTAGAAATTTATCAGAGTCACTTTTAGACTCAAGGCCAACACTGATTACAGGTGAATTGTTTTAAACTTTTGAGAAAAATACTACTATGCCTTATAAAGAACTTCATAGTATAGATAAGAGGAAGTGATTCCTACTGCATTTGAAAAATAAAAATGTGACAAATATAGAAAAATAATAAATGAACAAATCTCCCTTTTTAATATAAGTGAATATCTCTTTCCCTCCAAGAAAATATGATTTAGAAGTACAATGAAAGAATAACACCACGAACTGCATTCACAATTGCTACAAAGAGAATAAAATACAACTAACAAAGGATATAAAAGACCTCTTCAAGGAGAACTACAAACCATTGCTCAAGGAAATAAGAGAGGACACAAACAGATGGAAAAACATTCCATGCTCATGGTTAGGAAGAATCAATATCGTGAAAATGGCCATACTGCCCAAAGTAATTCATAGCTTCAATGCTATCCCCATCAAGCTACCTATGATCCTCTTCACAGAACTGGAAAAAACCACCTTAAACTTCATATGGAATCAAAAGAGGGCCCACATAGCCAAGACAATTCTAAGCAAAAAGAACAGCTGGAGGCATCACGCTATCTGACTTCAAAGAATACTATAAGGCTACAGTAATCAAAACAGCATGGTACTGATACCAAAACAGAGATATAGACCAATGCAACAGAACAGAGGCCTCAGAGGCAACGCCACACATCTATAACCATCTGATCTTTGACAAACCTGACAAAAACAAGCAATGGGGAAAGGATTCCCTGTTTAATAAATGGTATTGGGAAAACTAGATAGCCATGTGCAGAAAGCAGAAACTGGACCCCTTCCTGACACCTTACACTAAAATTAGCTCCATATGGATTAAAGACTTAAACATAAGACCTAACGCCATAAAAACCCTAAAAGAAAACCTAGGCAAAACCATCCAGGACATAGGCAATAGGCAAGGACTTCAGGACAACACCACCAAAAGCATTGGCAACAAAGGCCAAAATAGACAAATGGGATCTAATCAAATTCCAGAGCTTATGTACAGCAAAAGAAAGGGTCATTAGAGTGAATCGGCAACCAACAGAATGGGGAAAATTTTTGCAATCTACCAATCTGACAAAGGACTAATATCCAGAATCTACAAAGAACTAAAACAGATTTACAAGAAAAAAACAAACAAGCCCATTCAAAAGTGGGAGAAGGATATGAACAGACACTTTTCAAAAGAAGACATGTATGAGGCCAACAAACATATGGAAAAATGCTCATCATCACTCAAAATCACTGGTCATTAGAGAAATGCAAATCAAAACCACATTGAGATACCATCTCACACCAGTTAGAATGGCAATCATTAAAAAATCTGGAGACAACAGATGCTGGAGAGGATGTGGAGAAATAGGAACACTTTTACACTGTTCATGGTAGTGTAAATTATTTCAACCATTGTGGAAGATGGTGTGGTGATTCCTCAAGGACGTAGAAATAGAAATTCCATTTGACCCAGCAATCCCATTACTGGGTATATATCCAAAGGATTACAAATTGCTCTGTTATAAAGACACCTTGTGGCAATGTTTATAATAGCAAAGACCTGGAACCAACCCAAATGCCCATCAATGATAGACTGGACAAAGAAAATGTGACACATATACACCATGGAATACTATGCAGCCATATAAAATGATGAGTTCGTGTTCTTTGTAGGAACATGGATGAATCTGGAAACTATCACTCTCAGCAAACTGACACAAGAACAGAAAATCAAACACCTCATGTTTTCACTCATACGCAGGTATTGAACAATGAGAACACATGGACACAGGGAGGGGAGCATCACATACTAGGGACCATTGAGGGGGAATGGGGAGGGACAGTGGGGGGTAGGGAGGTTGGGGAGGGATAACAAGGGAAGAAATGTCAGATGTAGGTGACAGGCAGATGGAGGCAGCAAACCACATTGCCATGTGTGTACTATGCAACAATCCTGCATGTTCTGCACATGTACCCCAGAACCTAAAGTGCAATAATATATATATATATATATATATATATATATATATCTCACCAAATATATAAGAAGTTCTGTCAGCAGAACCCAATGCGAATAAACCATAAGTTAAAAATCACCTAGGAAAATCAAGAGAGAAAAATCTTATGAACCTAATAACAGATGGCAAAAGTTTTAACATATTTCCACTATCATTACTACCATTTAACATGGTTCCAGAAAAATTCCAGCCAAATTAACAAGTAGAAAATAGACTTATGATATTTAATGATTTGTAAAGAAGATACAATAATTATCATAATTGGCAGACAATGTAATTGTTTGTTTTGGAAAAAAATAGATTTCCTATGTAGATAAATGCTCATGTTCCATCTCCACCTGCTTCAGATAAGATGTGCAGACAAAATAAAGACAACACACTAAAGATAAATGCAAATATACAAGAGTTGAAAATAAAAGACTTTAAATATATAAATTAGGCAAATATGAATCCCAAATAGAGGATAGAGTCCATTTAGAACTGTACAAGCAATCAAGAAAAAATAGATTTTCCAGCAACAAAAACAAAACCCACAAGAACAACTAAACACTGGTGAAATGAACAATAAATCAAGATGATATAGCAATCAACACCTCATGCAAACCCAGCAAGTATTCCAAATTTAAAAAATAGGCCAACTGAAATACACAATGAGCATCTTTAGAACTGCAGTGGGAGAGGTGGGTCCAGTCCTTTTTGGTCCATCTCTTCATAGAACAAACGGAGGGAAATAAGTAGAGGTAGGGAAGATTCAGATAACAAGATTAAGAATCTTGAAAGTAACCCTCAATACATTTTATGACACTCATTCTAGAGCACCATAGAGCATGCCAAGATCAGTCACAGGCCATCATTGACAGTCAAACTCTGTCTCCATGTCACAGGGCAACAGAATTGCACTCCTTGAGAAAATAGCCTCAGACACCCAGCAAATACAATGCTGAATGCTCCTTGACTTGGAGGTACAATAAGGAAGGAAGCAATGCACTGAATGAAAATGAAGGATTGTTGTATCTTTGGTCTCATTAGTTTCAAACAACTTCTTGATTTCTGCCTTAATTTCATTATTTACCCAAAAGTCATTCAGGAGTAGGTTAATTCCCATGTAACTGCATAGTGTTGAGTGATGCGTTAAGTCTTGGCTTCTATTTTATTGCATTGTGGTTCAGAGAGTGGCTGGTGTGATTTCAGTTTAGCATTTGCTAAGGATTGTTTTATGTCTGAGTATGTGGTAGATTTCAGAGCACGTATCATGTGGCAATGGGAAGAATATATATTCTGTTGTGTTTGGGTGCTCAGTTCTGTAGAGGCCCATCAGATCCATTTGGTCCAATACTAAATTCAGATCCTTAAGGTCTTTGTTAATTTTCTGCCTCAATGATCTAATGCTGTCAATAGTGTGTTGAAGTCTCCCACTATTATTGTGCAGGAGTCTGACTCTCTTTGTACATTTCTAATGAAAAAATCCTCAATATTGCTGATCATTAGAGAAATGTAAATCAAAATCACAATGAGATACCATCTCACACCAGTCAGAATGGCTACTATTAAAAACTCACAAAATAGCAGATGCTGATAAGGTTGCAGAGAAAAGGAACCCTGATACCCTGTTGGTGGAAGTATAAATTAGTTCAACCATTGTGAAAGACAGTATAGTGATTCCTCAAAGACTGAAAAACAAAACTACCATTCAACCCAGCCGTTGCATTACTGGGTATATACCTAAAGAAATATAAATCATTCTACCATAAAGACACATGCATGCATATGTTCAATGCAGCACTATTCACAATAGCAAAGACATGGAATAAACCTAAATACCCACCAATGGTAGACTGGATTGAGAAAATGTGGTATCTGTACACTATGGGATACTATGCAGCCATAAAAAAGAATGAGATCTTGTTTTTCATAGGAACATGGATGGAACTGGAGCCCATTATTCCAAGCAAAGTAACTCAAGAACAGAAGTCCAAATATTGTATGTTCCCACTTTTAAGTGGAAGCTAAATGATAAGAACACATGGACACAAAGAGAGGAACAACAGACACTGAGGCCACTTGAGGGTGGAGGGTAGGAGGAGGGAAAGGATTAGAAAAAAAAAAAGTAGCTATGAGGTACTGGGTTAAATACCTGGGTGACAAAAATCTGTACAACAAACCCCTGTGAACGAGCTTACCTATATAACAAACCTGCACATGTACCTCTAAATTTAAAAGTTAAAAATATATTTTTAAAAAGCAAGAAAAATAAAAAGAAAGGAGAAAATAACATTTCATGTTTTTCTTAATGAAATCACTATATTTAACACATTCATTTAAAGAAATCAATTTCTCATGGGATTAGGAAAAAACTGGAAACACTCATGTGTTACTGCAGGAGCACAGCCCAGACCAGTAATTAAGCCAAATGATCTTGAGTTACTTGTGAAAATGCCTGTGAGTGTATCCTACAGCACAGTAATCTCAGTCTTTGGTATGAGAAGCCTGTCCACAGGTTCACAGGGAACTTCTACTCCTAAGTCAATCCAGACCTCCACAAAAGCAAGAGAACATACTGGCAGAAAGTGTTAGCCGCAACTTTTTCAGGACTCCAAAAGTTAACCAAAGGCTAGCAGTGATCAAAGGAGCATTTATTGAGCAAAGTATCTGAACACTGGCAAGAAGGGTAAGCATTGTGGTATTTTAACATACGCTGCTTCTATCCCGGTCTCCACAGCTCTGCAGCAGCCTTCAACACCAGCAGACTCAGAGCTGTAATAACTGCGCCACAAGCAACCTAGCAGCCCCTGAAGAAGGGAAAGATATTTGTGGAGTTTCTCCTAAAGTCCCATCTCCAGAAAATTGTAAGGATTGGATCTGCCCAGCAGCTCCCTGGAAGGCTTCACTCTCTGGCCTTGTCTCTGTTGACCTGACTCAGAGCTTCCTCTTCAGGACAACACTCCCCCAGGCATTTGTCAAAAGCAGTGGGCGGCAACTGTTTAGCATCACAGTTGTCTGTACCAATTGGGACACTGTTTGCTCTAAATCGCATGCTAACATGTAATCTCCAATGTTGGAGATGGAACCTGGTGGAGGCAATTGGATCATGGGTGCATGTTTCTTATGAATGGTTTTGTGCTATCCTCTTGGTGCTGTTCTTGCAATAGTGAGTGAGTTATCTCAAGATATGACTGTTTAAAAGTGTGTGACATCTCTCCCCTTTCTCACTTCCATTCTCACCATGTGACATGACTGCCCCTGCTTTGCCTTCTGCCATGACTGGAAGATTCCTGAGGCCTCCCCAGAATCTGAGCAGATGTCAGTGCCCTGCTCGCACAACCTGTAGAGCCATAAGCCATGTAAAGCTCTTTTCTCAGATATTTCTTTATATTGACCCAAGAATGGCCTAACACAATGACCAAGTGAGATCGATGCCAGGAATGCAAGGTTAGTTCAACATATAAAAATCAACAGTATAATATATCATGTCAGTAGAATAAAGTACAAAAAATCCATTATCAACTCAATTAACTCAGAAAAGCATTTGACAAAATGCAACACCTTTTCATGATAAAAACACTAAACAAATTAACTTAAGAATACAAAGCAACTACCTCAAACTGTTTAAGTGCATTTAGAAACAACCCACAAACAATATACTTAATGCAAAAACTACACATTGTCCTTCTTAATTCAGAAACATGAGGAATCTGGCCAATACTTGGCATGATTGTTATTTTGCTTTTGTAGACGTCTTGGGCATAAAAGATATTTTATCACTACATGAATTTAAATGTATCAAATAGGGAAGAACTGAGAAGTGTCCTAATCACCTGTTACCTGAGTTCCCTTGCCTATACTTGTTTATATTTTTGGACCATCAAAAAAGTGGGCTTATTCATTTATCTTGTAGATTTGCTACAGATTCCTGTGTGTGTGTGTGTGTGTGTGTGTGTGTGTGTGTGTGTGTGTGTAATTTCACTATCTTGTAATCTGTCATTTCTCTGTTACATTTATTCATTGTGTGTTTCACTGTACAGTGTAATCTGGCCTACTTACTTGGCTTTTGCTGTTTTGCTTAAGGAGTTCTTAGTCATAGCAAAATCATGAGACACTGTGCTTCTGCATCCCAGCCCATGGTCCTGCTGCACCATTGTTAGGACCCTGCCTGCCCTTGTTTCACTTTGGTGTTAATGACACTTTGTGCCTTCACTTCAGATCACCCTTCAACCTGTCACAAGCAATGCTGTTAATGGCTCCTTCTGTTTAATAATGACTTTTATTACATATAATTCCCATACTATACAGCCGACCATTTTAAAATTTAAAATTCAGATTTTTACTATGTTCACAGGGTTGTGCAATCATCGCTGCTAATTTTAGAACATTTCCATCACCTCAGAAAGAAATCCTGTGCCCATTAGCAGTCAGTCCCAATTTCCCATAACTAGAAAATGCAAATCTACTTTCAGTTTCTGTGGACTGGCCTATGTGGGATATTTCACGAACGGGATCACACAATATGAGGTCTT